AATGTGCGGGCTGGTGTGGGTGTGGAGGGTGGGTGTGGATGGGGTGTGAGTGTGGCTGGGGTGTGGGTGTGGGATGTGGGTGTGGATGTGAGTGTCGGTGTGGGTGTGGAGTGTGGGTGTGGATGGGGTGTGGGTGTGGGTGTGGATGGGGTGTGGGTGTGGATGGGGTGTGGGTGTGGATGGGGTGTGGGTGTGGGTGTGGATGAACATGATAAACACCCACACCCACATCAACATCCACACCCACCCACACCCACCCCACACCCACACCACCCTTGGGTTCGGCTTTTTTGTCTGATGTTGATGTGGAACTTCAACGACTAATAATGAACTTCGATCTTATCGTTTTGTGAACAGGAAAAATCGCATAACTGAATAAAGTTTGCATAATATCAATGATGGACAAATTCTTTCATCTTTCAAGGATGGTCGCGGATGCATGTTAATAATATTAGCATCGGATGAGTAATACGTGGTGACAATGGAATGAGCTTTCTATGTGTTTTAGTGCGTTGGTATGCGCGCCATGTCCAAAACATATATTCTCTACAATGGTGTTTTTATCCTTTCAATTTACTGATTTTTTGCTTTTTGACCAATGAAGTTTTTTCTGCCGTCGCAGTAATTCGTCGTGTTGTGCTAGCTTCTCATCAATAAATAAAATAAAATGGCAAAATGCCAATATTTATGTAGTATGAGTTAAATGCTGCATTGAGGCATTGCTGTTAAGAAAATGTTTGACTGTTTTTGTTGCCATTAACCAAATGGCAAACTTTAATTGCTTGTCTCTTCAAACATTTCCATGAGTATACAAATTAAGCTTGTTGGGATTGTGTGCCGGCATATTAGAAACCATTTGTTAAAATGAATGGCTTCCGTATGAAAACAAAATGATTTAATCACATTGATTTGAAGAGAACCATGAAATAACAATCGAAAGCATGATTTCTTTTTTTTCCACACAAGAAAGTGTGAAATGTTTCGGTGGATGGGTAATCTCCATAGCAATGCTCTACTTTGTGGAGGACCTATCGAATGATTGTAAGTTTGAATGTGAGCCTTCTCTATGATGGTACCAAACAGACACAGCGAATGCATTAAATCACGCCACGCCACATACACATGCGCAACAACCGATAGCCGCTATCAGGCAGACGCACACCTACACCAAAATCCATTCATATCCACGTAGACAACAATCATCAACAAAACTAACTCCTAGATGTACCATCATTCAGAAAGTGTTCATACCCAATCCTCATCCAGACCAACAGCTACAGAACAAGTTATCCTCCCACCCCAGCGCCTACACATCAACGTTCAACAAGTGCCGCGCCTAGAGCAACTGTCAACCATATCCACAACTGTATAACTTTTCGATTGCATCCATATGCATACCAAGTGTAACCCCGTGCACAATAACTTTCAATCAGATCCAGGCCGACACTCAGATCAATCCTTTCACAGACTGAAACCCACACCAAGCATCACCCAGCCAGAGACCCAGGCCCGTACTAAGACAACTCTCACCGAGACATCGGCCGGCATCCGCACGCAGTGCGGCGCTCATCCATACTCACGCCCATACCCAGACATACAGCAAATTCCACCCAGATTTACACCTACATCAAACCGTCACCAGCGCGTGACTATTCGTGTATCTAGAACAGTGGCGCGTAGCTGGTAGTCGGAGAACAGCACAAGGTGAGACCACTCTTGTTTTGCTTTTAACTTTTTAACTAAATGTTATCAAGACCTGATATTTTTTCCAGATATAGTACATTTTGACGCGACATAATGATGAATGTTTCAGATCTTAATAACATCTAGTCAACAAGTTAAAAGAAAAAGAGTGGCACCACCTTCTACTGACCTCCCACCATGAACGAGTCGTCACTGTTCAAGTTACTCCATTAGCCAGGAATAAGACGCAGACGAACTCCTACACCAAAGTTCACTCAGACCCACTGCTAGGCCAACGCTGATTCACATCCAAACCAAAATCCACACCAACCATCAATTATAACCAGATCCCCGCCTGCGCCTTGCCAAATCCTCAGCTAGACCGGCGATGATACCATTTTTCACTGAAGCTCACACCCATCGTTCAGCATCTAAGCCTACACTCATGCGAATCTTCACCTAGGCTCACATCTAGACTAAACTTCAGCAAAATCCACACAACTTCGGACTCATGCCCAGAATAAATCTTACCCAGGACAGCCTTCATCAACACACAGATCGACAGCCAATCTAACTCAGACTGAAAGTCACGCCAACTCTCACCTAAGCCCACAACAGTCCTCATTCAGAGTCGAAGCCATATCTGGAGCCAGACGATCGCTCACTCACATCCAGATCCATACCAGGCCAGAGCTGGGCAAGTATGGCTTTTCTCGAGTACGAGTACGAGTACTTCGAGTATTTTGCCCAGCTCTGCACCAGGCCAACATTCACCAAGATACAGACCCACACGCACATCAAGGGCAATCCTCGTCTACACCCAGGCCAAGAGCTACACGAACACGAACCCTCAATTACATCCATACTAATACTTAGGTCAAACCTCACCTAGAACCACACCCACACCATTCTTGACTCCAGCCATCACCTATTAATCCGCCTATACGAACCGTCACTCAGATGTAGACTAACAGTCACACAAAATCTCAACTACATCCTCATTGTCACGTCCATTTCGTTTGAACAACAACTAGAACCATTGCGCATATGCTGCAGAATGATCGTATAAGAATTCAAACTTTCTGCTGTATGGACAACAATATTCTAAGACCATGCTGTCTTCCTTAGCAAATTTATGCTATCATTGAAAATAGTTGATGGCACCGTCGAATGCAACAGCTATGCATTGCATCAATATGAGTCAGAGAAGTTTTCTTTGTTGGCTCTTTAAGAATAATTTTATTGGTTGGAATTTTATTTTGAAGATTTATTTCATACAGTCACTCATGGAACCATGCTATCTACTTGAATTCCAACCCCATTAGCCTTTTCAGCTATTGAAAGAAGTTATAAACGCTCCTTTTGCCCCTCTTCGAATATGTAGAAATACTTCTTCCTCTTACAGTCATATGAAATAAATATTCATCAGAGACGACAACAATCTTGAACCTTGGTGAATTAGATCACAGGCACCTCCAAGAAAACGATGAAGTTGATGTTCGAAAAACACAATTTCCAGAGATTTTAGCTATAATCGATCACACTATGTTAGGCGATAGGCGTTTCCACATTTTTGGATCCGATGTTGTTATTAGAACTAGCTAAATCTATTCTAATTATGGAAAGTAAGTCGCAACATCAGTTGACTGAAATTCTCTTTCAAAATATTTCAGAAGTGAATTTCAAGAGATTTAGAATACTTCGACGTTCGATGTGGTCAAGTTGGCTGCACTGACAAAAATGTTTTTGCGCTGTTTCGTTGTGTTTCTATGTTTGTGGGGGAAATTAAACCGGCATTATTGATTTTATTTACTTGTAGGGTACATGAAAATGTCACAGTCACCGAATACGGATCGTTCACCACTGATATGTTGAATTGCAGAGCTTGCGTGCTGAGAATCAACAAAGTATTTAGTTGGTGGAATGTTGTGAAGACTCATCAAGATGAATAAAAATGCCTAAGGATTACTCGAGTATGTGCTATTAGCTGAAATCCACGCTACAGATGCATAACCCCAAAAGGACTAATTGTTCATTGATCGCACAATTGTCATCGTTGATTCTTAATTACCATATTGCGTGATACTCTATAAGTGCGTTCTCATTTTTGGTCAAATTTGCCAGAGAAATGGTTGAGTTCACTTTGTTGTTCCATTTTCAGTAACATTTCATTTCCGAAATTGCTGGTCTTTTGTTTCTGCTCGACTTCTGCTGAGCGATGAAGTTCCGTTAAAACGTTGATGAGACTGCAAATACAAGTATCTAGTTTCAATGATAAGTT